AATATTGGGGAACCAAGAAATGGCAGAATTGAATAAATACTTTACATCAGTCTGCACAGTGGAAGACATGAATAGCATCCCAAAATCATTAGATATTCTAGAAGCAAAAGGATGAGATGAAATAAATACAACAACTATCACTAGAGGAAAAAGTACTAGGGAAACTAATGGGGCTAAAGGCCGATAAGTCCCCTGAACGTGATGAGATGTATCTTAGGATATTAATGTAAATAGCTGCAGAGATAGTGGATGCACTGATAGTAATCTTCCAGGGATCCTTAAATTCTGGAAAAGTCCCAGAAGGTTTGAAAAATACCAAAGTAACAGCTTTGTTTAAATAAGGAAGGAGACAAAAAAAAAGGTAACTAAATGTCAGCTTGTATTACTTATGTTGTTGGGGCAATGTTAGAGTCTATTATAAAGGATGTAATAACAGACTACTTAGCAATGCATAATATGATCAAACAGCATGAAGGGCAAGTCATGCCTGAATAATTTACTAGCATTCTTTGAGGAGGTAACAAGCAGGCTAGATAAAGGAGAAATAATGGATGTAATATATTTGGATTTTCAGAAGGCATTCTATAAGGTACCACTCATTAGGCTACTTAATAATATAAAACCCTATGCTGTTGGAGATCATGTATTACCATGGATATATAATTGGCTAGCTAATAGAAGTCAGATTTTTGATAATGGACCATTAAGGGACCATAAGGGATATAGGCTGGCAACCTGTAACTAGTGGTGTTCCATAGGCACCAGTGCTGGGGCCATAATTAATTACAACACATATTAATGACTTGGATGAGGGATGCAGACAGGTTAGGTGAGGGGGCAAAAACTTGGCAGATAGAGTATAATGTGGAGAAATGTGACATTGTGCACATAGAGGAGAGAGATGGCAGAAGATCTAAATAGTGAATGACTGCACAAAGCTGCAGAGAGGGATTTGAGAGTCCTCCAGCATAAATCACCAAAAACGTACAATTTCAGCCAGTGGTATGGAAGGCAAATGGAATAGTGACCTTTATTTCAAGGATAATCGAGTATAATGTTGGGGAAATCTTGCTAAAATTATACAAGGTACTAGTCAGACTACTCCTAAAATACTGTGAACAGTTTTGGGCCCCTAGTCGTAAGGAAAGATATGCTGACATTGGAGGCTGTTCAAACAAGTTTCATTAGGATGACTCTAGGTCTGGAGGGACTGTCTTATGAGGACAGATTGAGTAGATTGGGCCCGTATTTGTTGGAATATAGAAGAATGATAGGTGACCTTTTTGAAACATACAAGATTCTAAGACGACTTGACAAAGTAGATGAGGAGAGGTTGTTTCCCCTTGTGGGATAGTCTAGGACCAGAGGGCATAATCTCAGAATAAGTGGTCACACATTTAGGAAGATGAGGAGGGATTTCTCCTCTGAGGGTTGTGAATCTGTGGCATTCTTTACCACAGAGGGCTGTTGAGGGCGGGTTATTAAGTATTTTTCAAGACTGAGATAGACAGATTTTTCTTGTCAGTAAGGGCATCAGAAAGGGAAGAAGTCCATGTTGCTACTGGTACTTTTATTCTATGAGCTATAACTTTGCTCACAGGTCTGTTGTGTTACACTGTGAAATGTCTTTTGGAAGTCCATGTATACTATATCAACAGCATTGCCCTGATCTACTCTCTCTGTCATCTTTGCAAAAACCCCAGGAAGTTGTTAAGCATGATTTTTAAGCTTGGTTTTCCCTTAAGAATTCCATATTGGCTTTCCTTAATTAACCCACGTTTGTCCATGTGGCAGTTAATTTATCTGGTAATGTTGTTTCCAAAGGTTTCCCCAGTGCTGAAGTTAAATTGATTGGCCTGTAATTGCTGGGCTTATCTTTACACCCACTTTTGAACAAGGGGATAATTTTCATAATTCTCCAATCTTCTGGCATAACCACTGAGTCTAAGAAAGACTGCAGGGCACTGACCACTTTCTTCAATTTCCACTCTCACTTCCCTCAGTATCCTTGGATGTGTCTCATCTGGTCACAGTGTCCTGTCAACTTTACATACTGTTGCATATCCAATACTACTTCCTAATCAATTATAACCTCTCCTACTGACTGAATTTCTCCATGGCCTGTGCAGCATCTTTTCCCTTGGTCAAGACAAATGCAAAGTATTCATCCAAGCAATTGATGCAACTTCTAAATAGTTGAGGTACCAATACTGATCCCTGTGTGACTCCAAGAGGTGCAGCTCGAGAAAGATGCACTGCAATTTCCACTGTACAATATTTGATACCTCTCAGGACAAAACTGGCTCTATCTCTGACCTACCTCATAGTTCCTGAGACATTATTTTAGGAGCATACCCCCACCTCAATGAATTTCACCCTTTAATTTCACTACATGAAGTAAATTCATTAGTTTAGCTGAATCCTAAAAGTTAAACCTTTTTAATGTCAGTGATGTAACTAATGAACGCGAATTGCACCATGATCATGTGGAACAGAAAATATCTACCAGATTTATAACTAAGCATTTCTCTAACTGATACAGGATGTTCCACTCCATTTCAAATAGACCTTAATGGCACACAATAAGTACATGAAAACTGGTACAGAATCATTCTTTTATTTCCATCACTACATGACTGACAATGATCTAATTTTATGCAAACACATTATGACAGAACAAAATGTGAATTAATGATATTACTGCCAAAAGTACTCCATAATGCTCCATAACCAAATGATGGATATGAGAACAATTTTATCAAAGATTGAGAAATTTCTTGTCTTAGAATAAAATAAATTTCAGCAACAGTCATTTTCAGTTGCAGTACTGCCAGGGATGGTAATGAACACATCGATCCAACTTGCAGTGTCACAGTGAACAAGGCTTTGAAGTGTCCTGGCAGTAGTATTGGGTATTTTGAAGACCTCAGACATGGAACTCTGCTGATCCACAAACCTTTGACTATTTCTTGCCAAGATAACTTTATGCGAAATTAGCCTTCTGGGAAACAAAATCAATTGCATTAGGCAGGGTTAAGTGCGTCTTTCATCACGTTAGCTTCTTGGGCATTATAAGGTTGTGATTCTTTTAATCTGTATGTCTGGCAGGATTATATGAATGAAGTAGGTATCTTTTATGGGGTCAGGAGTTCTATACCTTTATCTTCCATTCCATTTAGCCAGTGATCACATATGGAGTCACAGAGTCATACAGCAGGGGAACAAACCCTTTGGTCCAACTCGTCGATGCCGACCAGCTTTCCTAAACTGAACTAATCCTATTTGCCTGTGTTTGGTCCATATCCCTCTAAACCTTTTCTATTCATGTACCTCTACAAATGTCTCATAAATGTTGTAATTGTACCCGTCCCTACTGCTACCTTGTTTGAACTTCTTATAACAAGGGATAGATCACAAACCTTAAATTGTAGATATTTAATGGAGAGTAGACACAGTTTGGCCCATTAAATTGCTCTTAGGTGGATTTAATGGGCAACAATCTCGATATTATTTGACAGCAATTCTAAATCCCCATTATCTCTTCAGCCTCTCAGCTCTCTTGATGTTGATGGATTAATCATCTGACAATCATTAACTTCCTCCACCTAAACAAGTGGGAAGACTAAAGCTACCATCAATACTTGCTCCACAAACTCCCTTCCTTACATATATGTAGCATGTAGCTAATGCCAGTCCCTGGTCACAGGTTGAACCCGCCACCTTTCAGAAAGTCCCATGAAGCTCACAGGGATGACCAATGATCCAGCTACGCCATGCCTGACTTTAAAAATTTTAAAAATCTGGACATTTTCCTTTTCTTTTCAATAAGGACTTTAAGATCTGGAACAAAAATAGAAGTTGCTGGAAAAACTCAACGGCTCTGACAGCATCTGTGAAGAAAAATCAGAGTTAATGTTTCCGGTCTGGTGACCCTTCCTCAGAACTGAGGAAGGATCACCGGACCCGAAACATTAACTCTGATTTTTCCTCACAGATGCTGTCAGACCTGCTGAATTTTTCCAGCAACTTCTGTTTTTGTTTCTGATTTGCAGCATCCGAAGTTCTTTTCGTTTTTACTTCAAGTTTTGGACATATTTCATTTTCTTTTGGCTCTGTTTCTTTTATTTCTTCTCTTTTTTTTTAAATTCTGGTTTTGTGTGTTTTGTATATTAAGGTGGCACTGGAGAATGGTGGCTTTGTACACTTTTCGCTGTACTCCTGTCTACCTGCACTTGAGTACACGTGACAATAAAATCTAATTCTAATTCTAAATTGCAGTCTTCCTAACAGTAGAAGGACCATCATTTTGCCCTGAAAGTATTCTGACAACACATTTTGAAAAATGGCCATTAATTCCCTGAAAAAACACACGTGCATCCCTTTAAACTTCGGCCAGGGTGAAGTCCCACATTAGCAGGACACACTGCTAGTGACAGTAGGCTGGAGTACAACAGCTCAAACAATCTTGCATTATCGCACTATTGGAAGGCAAAGTTATGGCTTCTCTTGTCCTGACCTTAGGGCTTGAGTATTTTCTGAGGTGAGGGGGGCATAAAGCTCTGTGCTGGAACACTAACTTTGGCTCATTCATTGGATTGTGTAGAAGAAATGAAAGTACTGCCCCTATAGGCAAAACTCACTGGAGAGGCCATCACTATAGGTGCTAGAAATGTTGATGCAAGAACTATTTGTATGTGGACAGTTGGTACAGGAACCATTGGTCTGGGAACAATTGATGTAGGAAATATTGGTTTGGGAATGAATAGTGCAGTCACCATTAGCATGGGGAAAATCGGTGCTGGAATCACTGATATGAGGACACAATGTGGGGCAATTAGTACAAGAACCTTTGCTGCTGGGGTCATGTGTTAATAAGATGCCATCAATGGAATTACCTCATCAGTAGTGTGAGTAGACTTGCGCTGAAAGAAATAATGGCTAATGCCACGAAGCCAGTCCCAAAATGTGCTTTAACAATTTCTCTTTGATCCATTTTATAGCCAGAACAACCTGGTGCTCAACCAGTGGAATCACTACTTGACTTGGACTTTGATCCTTTCAAACCAGACCAGTCCACTCCAATTACAAGAAGTCAGTCACCGCTTGCTCAGGTCTGTACCACCAAGTTTCTTGCTTATCTGTAAAGAGCAAATGAAAGACACGTGTCTGATTGGGGTGGTTTTCCCAAGTGGGTGAGGGGAGAAGCAGTTGCAGTTTTGGACAGGAGATCTGAAAGTCTAACTTATTGAAGTCAATCCGTTGGGCAGTGAGCACTCTAGAACTAGCTGTAGAGGAAGCATTGTGAGGGGGTTAGAGGAGGTGAATGATGAACACTCACTCCTGGGGCATCATGGAATGAGAGGTAGATCTGAAGGTAGAGTTAAAGGTCTGGTGATAGCAAAGGAGGCAGGATTGGTGCCTGGGACATTGTGGGATCAGTGGGGTAGATGGAAGGAAACACTGCTGCTCCTTCTAGCCGATAAGTAAAGGCAATTTACCCAAACTTAACCTCACCTTCCTTGAACCAATCCTGTAAAACCCAGTCTGCCAGAGTTAAGCCTTTAAAACAGTTTCAACATGAGTTTCCCAGTCTCATTACATCATTTAATAATCCACTCGCCTCCTGGGAATGGGTTGCATTCTGTTTCCATCCCATTTTTCTTAAAAGTGGATAGTTTGAAAACAGGTTGGAGATTTACATTTTATGCACCTTTCACTTGGTGCTCACCCTTTTATTTGGTGAAAATAACCCTCAATCTTTGAATCAACGTGTTATTTACATTCTTTGATGCTCTATGAAGAAAATTAATCAGAAACAAAAAAAAACTATTCGATGGAGCCAGTCAACAGAATACAGTGGTCAAGTGGTGATTGCGTAGTCTTGGGTTCAAATCCCACAAAGGTATGGAATGATAATTGATTCCATTCAAATCTTTGGATAATTTTTGGACTGTTCACAGAAAAAATTGATCCTAAAAGCTATTGTATTATTATAAAAATCAACTGTTTTCAGGGAGAGGAACCTGCTACACCTGCCTAGCCTAGGTCTACATGTGACTCAGGTTACACACTTTGTGGCTGAGTCTTGAAGTCCTTAAGAACACTATAAGAAATGAACAATTGTTTTTCAGAGGTTAATTTGAGCCTTAATACAAGAGAAGCATTGGTTACTTTTACTCCTTTGAGGAGGTTGGGAAAGATTGTAATTATAGTCCTCTAAATAAACTCTTTGTGTCAAGCACTGATCATTGACTTGTTGAATGTTAAATATGTTTGTTGGTTTACATCTCAAACCACTGTTTGACAGAATGGCTATTTACCTGTCTCCCAAACACCGGGAGTGCTATTAGAGCCAGTAGCAAACACACTCTATTTTAGTTTTAGAACCAGTCTTGATAATGGGCAGGCAATGAAGTAGTCCTGTTAGTAGGGAATGGAAAGCCCACTTGGGATTGTTCCTGAATACTAAATCCAAGTAGAATATTAGATGGGTCTCTAGATGTTAGATGGGTCTCATCAGCTGTTTTCCTATGGACAAGGTTTGGAAATTATGGGTAGAATTTTGTCGATCAGAGAGGCAACCCAACATTGGCTGGAAAAGTGGGTTGAAATGGCCAGCCTAACCTCCCGGTCACCACTCATTTCAACTCCCACTCCAACATGTCCATCCTCGGCCTCCTCCGGTATCACAGCGACTCAGAACGCAAATTTGAAGAACAACACCCTATCTTCTGCCTGGGCATCCTACAGCTCAGAAGACTTAACATTGAGTTCTCTAACTTCAAATAACTTTCCCATCCATTCCCCGGCTCCCTTTCCAGCCCCACCTCCTCCATTCCATCTACGTCCCCCTTCCCTTCCATTCCAGCTACCAATTGGATTCATCCCACCCATTGACCAACCAGGTTGTACCTACTATCGGTGCCCAGCTATCACCACCCTTCCGCTCCCCTACCCCATCCTCTCTCTTTATCTCCCCCTAACCCCACATCTAGTCCTGAAGAAGGGTAATTCCCAAAACGTTGACTTCTCCTCCTCCAGATGCTGCCTGGCTTGCTGTGTGTTTCCAGCCTCCTGCTCGTCTACCTTGAATTCCAGCATCTGCAGTTTTTATTTAATCTCCTGCCAGCATTTGTCATTGACTAGTGGGACCTGCCCTTCAGCTTTATGGCTGACCACTAATAAAGTGGTTGCTGCCAGCATGTTTAGAGGGTAGTCTGCACCCAACAACTGCTAGCCAGATCACAGGGCCAGGAGCTGGAGATGTCTGGCAGTGCTACCCAGAACAAAGGAAACTCTGCCGTGGAAATTGCTGGGCTCCCTGCAGCCGCTTTCCCTGCCCTCAGCCCCCTCTATAACTTTAGAAGTACCATCCACATGGCTCCACTGCAAGAACACATCCTTTAAAGCTGACAGCTTTCCCATGGACCAAAAGCAGAAGTTGCTGGAAAAGCCCGGCAGGTCTGGCAGCATCTGTGAAGGAAAAAACAGAGTTAACGTTTCGGGCCCGGTGACCCTTCCTCAGACCCTTCCACTGGACCCGAAACGTTAACTCTGTTTTCTCCTTCACAGATGCTGCCAGACCTGCTGAGCTTTTCCAGCAACTTTATTCTTGTTCCTGATTTACAGCATCCGCAGTTCTTTCGGTTTCAGCTTTCCCATGAAATCAGGGAGAAGGGTAGGGAATGTCAACCTGCCATTGGCAAAATGTAATCAATGGCTGGTAGAATAGCTCTCAATTAAACATTTACATATTTAAACTAGTTGCCTGGCCAATTTGGGCACCATCTGCCTCATCCCATTCCTGCCTTTAGGAGAAATCCACAATGATGGGATTTGGTCAGGCAGCCAATGCAACCCAGCTCCCTGCAATTTATCAGCCTCCAGATCTCTCCCATCCCACCTCCGATGGGCCTGTAAAATTTTGTCCTGTCTACAGTGATACTTACTTCTATTTTGATAGACAGTTTTGAAAGTGATATGAACATGGCACCGATCATCGACTTAACAGTTATTCAAAACTCTCGTAATATTTTGACATTCAAGCCTGGAATTTCAGAACAGATTCTTCAATGGGATATCAACAAAGTGCAAGGAAAAGTAGCTTTTGCCTTTATATAAATTCAAGGCCTTACTGGGAAATAAACTCTACAATTCAAGCAGACAGCAAACCTTATCACAAACTTATGTAATGTGATCGATTTCATCACCTTCTCTTTGCCTCCAGTTAAAGTGGACCGTGCTGCGTCAGTGCACTATGCAATTTTGAGCTAAGCTTCTAACCTGCTTTTCTTTCCATCATAAAGAACATCTACTTCCATCTCTATCAACAATCTCTGTCCCTGCCTCAAGTCCAGCAGCTGCTGAAACCTTACCTGTGTCTCCAGGCTTAACTATTTGAATGATCACCTGGCCAACCCACGCCCTCACACATACTCCATCCTCTGTTATTTTGAGTTTTCCAGCCCATATTCCATCTCACACCGAGTCCACCCTCACTCATTACTTGTCCCTCACTGATCTACATTCACTGCCAATCTCCCAACATCTTATTTTAAATCCCAAATATTTCTAACATCTCAGTAATTTCTTCCTGATGTATAGCTTTCCTACTCTCTGAACCCTCTATCCTTTCCCCCTCATGAATCTGGTATCTCCCCCACATCATCATTGGTGACCATGCCTTTACTTGTCTAGGTCCTAGGCTGTGGGATTTTGACCCTCAATTCCTGCATCTCCCTATCTGACTTTAGACCCTTCTCAAAACTCAGCTCCGTCTCCAATCTTCTTGTCACTCCTCCCTGTTTGACTCAACAATCATTATTTGATCATTCCTCTGTGAACAATAGTCTGGAACATTATTCTGCATTAAAGCACAAATTAATTGATAGTTGTTATCGTGTTATAGCCGAGTTTTGGTTTCATGGCGTGAATGAAGAATACAGGCGATGTCCTCGGACTACTGTAAAATTGTTGCTACTTGTTTAATTTATCTAGCCTTCTCTCCCTTTTTAATCCACATTTAGACCCTGCCTTGGGATCTGTGGGAGGTAGGAATGCTTTATTTTCCATTTGAAAATCATCTCATTTTCAGGATTAATCCATTGTCTTCATATTGTCAGTCCCATCCTTTGAAGGTCTAATGAGTTACTTATTTCAAAACTCTGCACGGAAAATTTCATTTAACTCTTTTCATTTAGCCAGTTTCAAATGTTTGTCAGGTTGAGAAATCTAATCATTAAGCAAGTGCAATGAGGTCTGTTTTGCAATCCACTTATTGAAAATATGGAATTCTGCGGACCTGTCCAACATTTGGCGCAGACTGATTGGCTACAAGGAGACTGTAAATTAATGGATTATTTTAAAAGGCTGCTATGATTTTGACACATTTTAAAAATCATTTGGGTTGGGCCATCATTCCCTTCAATTGAGGTAGATTGTTCATTCTTACAGGACTGAATGCACAGTATAAAACTATTCAGAAATAAGCTGAGAATTCCATTGCCAAAAGTAACAATAGAAGCATAATGTGTCAAATTTTGGAAACCCATTAAAGTGCACTGCAGTTAAGTATTTCCACATTGCATTTTATGTTGAAAGTAGCTTAGACTGTGAGCATGAGCCAAGTGCAAAAGAGCCCAGTGTTTGCTAAAGTGCAGATAAGTTACTTGGTATTTTTTTAAATAACTTATTTGTGTCTATTTAAAGGCAAGTGCGGAACTGGTTCAACCTGTGAGTACATCTCCTCATTTCCTTATTTATTTGTGTTCTATAGATAAATTGTTTCCAATCTCTAAGAGACTTGTGTACTTTTTATAGATATATTCTCTCACATAGTACAACTATTTTTACACTGACTCAGTTTTATGTTTTCATCTTTGCTGAGATTTATTTAACTTTTATTAAGGTAAATTTGCATGTTTTTGCTGCATGTTTTTTTTCTCTGTTTAATTTATTTACAATTATGGGGAAGAGGAGTAGATCTGCTGTCAGATACTCCACTTTTGGAATGGGATTTAAGGGGACCACTGACCTGGAAACCATGATCCCATAAAGCTTGCTTTTATGGTTGGCACTCTGCAAATCAAATCATAAAATCCCTGCAGTGCAGAAAGAGGCCCGTCAGCCCATTGATTCTCTCCGCAGAGCGTCCTACCCATCCCCCATACCCCCACATGGGGTTTTTACCATGGCTAAACCATCTAATCGACATATCTCTGGGCACTACAAGGCAATTTTGAGCATGGCCAATCTACCTAACCTGCACATCTCCGGGAGGAAACTGGAGCACCTGGTTATACCTGACCCTAGAATGCTGCTGGATATATTCACAATTAGTAATTCTGGGATTGCTGTCATGTTTTTATATCATTTACATTGACTTGTGTTATTATGTGGGAAGATTTGTGTTTCTTTTGCTCGTTTATCTTCATCTCTGCTTCTGTTATCTTTTATATCTGTCTTCACTCATCTTCTGTCTAAAGCCTGACTCTTCACAAAGTCTCTTCTGTCTCTGTAATCCACCTGTGGAGGACAGCACAGATGCTGGCGCACCAAGCGATGTTACTGCAGCAGTTTCTGAAGTAGTGGCCAGCCAGAACTGTACACCACAATGGGGCTTAACCAACACTGGCCCACTCACTAGCAGTGAGGAAGGAACTCTAGATGATACTCCCGATGAAGCTCTGCCATGTTCTCAGGAACGGGAAACTACAGGGAGCTGTGCTGCCCAATCAGCTGATAGCATTGTGAACCCTGTGTATCAGACTGAGGAAGACCAACAGGGTTCAGTCAATACAGAGAATTGGCAAGAGAATCCATTAGACAAACAGGTAGACACTGAAATAATGGAGAGCAGGAAATGGCAGACAAATCTGTGTGTAGAACAAGAGTGTGGCTCTCAGCTCTGTGTAGATCAGAAAGCACCCTTGTCCCTTATTATACCCCAGGAGGGAGGTGTAGAACTGATTGAAGGAGAAAGTCTGAGTGAGTTCAAACAGATAAGCAAGGAAGACAGTTTAGAACATTGTCATTCAGCAGGACAACTGGGAAATGAAGTAGCAGAGAATGCAGGTAAGATTCATGAGGCTGAAACCCACAGAGGCAATGGCACTGGTGGTGATGATGCAGAAACAGAAGAATTGCACTTCAGCAAAAGGTTTGAGCACAATGATATCCACAGAAGCTATCAAAATGATCCTGCTGCTGGCCAGTGTACAAAAGCTGAAATGCTACTTAACTGCAACAGTGATAACATCCTAGATAGCCAGGAGGAGGAGGAGGACATTCCTGTTATGTCTTGGAATGAAGATACTCCAAGTAACCAAGAAATTGAGGGAGTTGTTTGCATGTATGAAGGGGACCAAACCCTTCCCCTTCGTGATCACACAGTTGATATTAGCTGTTACAACACAGACAGAACAGACCAGTGTCAGGATGCAGGGAGCCAGTTTGAACAAATTCACACACACAACAATGAAATAGGTAACACAACTAACACAGGAGAGGAAACAAGCCAATCAGGTGGAGCCTATGTTGATATTCCAGTTACCAATCAAGCAGATACATTTCACAGAGATGTCAATAATGACAATAGACTTAGTCCTCAAAGGCTGGAAGTGGACCCCTGGAGCAGAGAAAAACATGAGATATGGCCAGACAACTGGGAGCCTACTATTAGCAGCGAAGAATGGGATTTCTGTAGTCCACCAGAGGGGATGATTAATGGATTTGACCCTTGGTCATCATTTCAGGAGGGCCAAAGGGAGTTTGATTATCAAAATGAAGATGGAAGAAAAGCACATTTTTGTGAAAGGTTTAAAGAGAAAGTCTGTCCTATACCTGATACTAATGAATTTGGTGTTACCTGGGCTGGAGACACATTGAGTGGTTCTGATAGGAATGAGGAAACTGAGTTACAGCAGGAATTATATGGGAGCTTTGAAAACATTAGTGATGGAAGCCAAACTAGAGATATGCATAGTTCCCAAATGTCCTATCCAATCGAAAACTTAAGCAACGCTAGCAACGAGAGTTCATCCAGTGCTAAAGATAATGAAACAAACTTCTCGGATCTATCGGAGGATGAGATTGCTAACCGGAGATACGGACTGTTATACCAGGAGCTAGATGCTGAAACAGAAGAGGTACCTTGTTAAGTGTTTAGTGTAGAACAAAAGTTCTTAGGTAAACTATTGGCTAAATCTTCATTATCATCCCTGATTCATTCCTTTCCTTCAACTGTCTGTTGTTATACGTTATTCCTCCCAAAGGTCATCATAATAAGTAGCAACAGTAATACCTATCTTGTGTGTTATATTGGTTGCAGTGATAAAAGTGTATATTAATTCAACATTTCATCTCTTTCTCCATTATTTTCAGATGCCCAGTGCTGCTTTTAATGGATTCACACAGGTAAGACATTTCTGATAATTGCTGATAATCACTCCTGTTGGTTTATTTTTTAAGTAGAGTTTCCAAGTTGCAGCCTTGTCTGACTGAGAACAGGACTGCCAAGGGTAGAGGCAGTCAACACATCCCCAGTGTTCAAGGGATAACGATCAAGAACATCAAAAAGGCCAGTGCAACATTGTCCAGTGTCCTTACCCGAAACAGGGGAACCCTCAATGTGCCCTAGAATGATGTCCACTTCACCATGTTTACTTTCGTATTTCCACAGTTCAAGAGGGGAAATTGAAAGCAATCCATGTATGTGTTGGTGATACAGAGAGTTATAAACTGATGTTAAAACCATGAGATTTGAAGTGTGTATTAAATGTGACACACTTGGCTCAGTGCAGCATTCTTCTATCTGAGTCAGAAGTTTCAAATTTTAAATCACGCTCAAGACACTTGAGTATGTAATCCTGACACTTGAAAGCAGTCAATGTGGGCAGCACGGTGGCTCAGTGGTTACCACTGCTACCTTCCAGCAACAGGGTCCTGGGTTTGATTCCATCCTCGGGCGACTGTCTGTGTGGAGTTTGCATGTTCTCCCTGAGTCTGCGTGGATTTCTTCCAGGTGCTCTGGTTTCCTCCCACAGTCCAAGGATGTACAAGTTAGGTGGATTGGCTGTGCTAAATTGCCCGTAGTGTTCAGGGATGTGCAGGCTAGGTGGATTAGCCATTAGAGATGCAGGGTTATAGGGATGAGGTAGGTCTGGGCGGGATGCTCTTTTGAGGGTCAGTGTGGACTCAATGGGCCAGATGGCTTGCTTCCAAACTGTAGGGATTCTATGATTCAGTCCTGAAGGAACAGTTGGAGGCATTTATTTTGCATCAGGTTTTAAACCATCACCAGTGTTAGTAACAGATATCACAGCATATTTAGAAGAAAAGCAGGGAAATTCTTTTGGTGTACCTGGCAGGATTTATTTCTCAATGCCACAACCTAAAACAGATTATCTGATTGTTATCTCACTGCTATTTGTGAAACCATGCTGTAATTCATCCCACAGCCAATGGAACAGTTTAGGTCCTACAGTTCTACACATCCATTTGTAAATCGTGATGGACAATTAAACAACTAACTGAAGAAAAGGGCCCAGAAATACCCCCATCCTCAGTGAATGGCTCAGTATATAAATGAAAAATACTGTACTGTGCAACTATCTTCCTTTGGACTAGATATGACTTTAACCAGCAGAAACGTTTCCTGCTGATTGTCAGTTGTTTCGGTTTTGCTTTGGCTCTGAGGTGCCATGCTTGGTCAAATACTGCGTTGATGTCAAAAATAGCTCCTCTCACCTTTCCTCTTAAACTTATATCCATGTCTGGACTAAGGTATACAAGACGCACTGCAGAAATTCATCAAGGCCTGTTGGACAATGCTTTCCACCTTCCATGTGACATCTGCCAGAGATAGCAGGAACTGCTGATGCTGGAGAATCTGAGATAACAAGGTGTAGAGCTGGATGAACACAGCAGGGATAAATTTCTGAAGAAGGGTCTGGGCCCGAAACATCGGCTTTCCTGCTCCTCTGATGCTGCTTGGCCTGCTGTGTTCATCCAGCTCTACACCTTGTTATCTCGTGTGACATCTGCCACCTACGACAAGGACAGCACTACTACCTGCAAAGTTCCTTTCTAAGCCTCATATCATCCTGACTTTAGAATATGTCATTGTTCCTTTACTGTCACTGGGTCAAAATCCTGAAACTCTCTTCCCAACAGCACTTTGAGTGCACCAACCACCATGGACCTGTTTAAGTTCACCAATACCTTTTCAAGGGCAATTAGGGATGGGTAATAAATGCTAGCCTTGCTAATCACTCCCATATCCCATTAAAGAATAAGTGAGAGTCGGCTGCTGTATTTCTCCACCTGGAACAGTGACTATACTTCCATAAGTATTTTCACTGGAACTCCTGATGGTAATTGACCAAGGGACTATTTTGTATGTACACTCAGTTTGTACTACATCCACCATTGAATGTGTAGTCTCTGCCACCACCAACATTATACCCATTCTGGTACTGGTTTGAACTGCATAATTGCTAACATGTTTCATTCAGTCAATCTCTCCAATGCATCTTATCTCCCACTGTCCTGATCACTTTGCTGGCCCAAGTCCTACCTCTCACCACCCCCCTCTCCAGACCCCACCACTCTCTCGCGATGTTTTTCCCCAAGACTTCACTGCCCGTCAGCCCAGCCCTTACTGCACCTTGTGTTTTATCTCACTGACTAGTGTGCTGGAAATCAAGCTCCACTTTTCCTGGCGTCTTCACAAAAGTTAAATATTTTAAAATGAGTACACAAATTTCGCCAATTTACCTGATTTTCAGACCCAGGTCGATAGAACACATGGTTTAGCGATCTGTACTGAACAAGAATAACTATTTCAATTAATTAGTCTCAAGCGACAAGTAAACGGTTATAAAATGACAGTGTATAACACTATAAATTAAAACTATAATCCCTTTATAATGACCCCTCAGACACAGACACACACACACACACACACACACACACACCACACACACACACACACAATGAAAAATAGTTTATGGGCAGAGGAAATTTGACAGCAATCCAGTGGTTCCTATATTGTTGAGATGATCCTTATGATTCTTAGGCTCGTTAGAACATTGTTTTACAGTCACTTTTTTCTGAACACTTCCACTGGTTTGCAAGAGTCGAAAGGTGGCTGGATCGCTTGTAAAACGTCGCTGACTCATCAGTTATAAGCACATTTTACAGCAAATGCTGAAGAAAAGATGAACTGGTTTTCTTCAGATTTATAATGGGTTTTAGCTGCAGAGAACAGAGACACATCACCTAAGCTGGTAGCGATGAAAACCCTTCTTTGTAACTTGTTTCTAGCCCCAAGCTGCTCACTTATCTGCAAACAAATCACATGATTGTTAGCAGGCAAAAGGCTCTTGTCATCAGTAACTGATCACTAGTCCATAGACCAATCAGCTTCTTGTTGCCACCCAACTGCATCCATATATAGAACCCCTCAGCTCCAATTCATCTGAAACCACTTCAATCATTGCTTGTTCAAATAACTATTTACACAATGATTACCGTAAGTGTCAGATTGCTTGCTTCTCAAACCATGCGCCAATCCTTTAAAACACTTCTTTTTTGAACAACAATTCTTTCTCATTTCAGTCCACAGTTTTAAAAATCACAAAATAAAAAGACACAGATCTTACATTTGTAAAGACCGTATCTTTTATTTATTTTCCTGTATTTTTAATAATGAGCTGAAATGGGAAAATAGCTGTTTTTTAAAAAAAACCCAAAGATTGCAGAAAGGATTATTGCACTTTTGAAAAGCAAGTTAAATGACACTTATTGGAAGTGCTGTTTACTGTATGTTGAAGTAATGACGGGTGGTCCACTTGCAGATGAAGTAGAGCCAAGGGGAGTGTACATAAGGGGGGGGAGTTCTGGCCAGCAACAGGTGGATGATTGGTCAGGGGAATGGTAGCCAGTTGTCAATGACAAAGGCCTGTCAAAAGCTATGTGATTGGTTCCCAGGAAGCTGCTCAGCTTGTGGATGTGAATGTTTGGTCAGAAACCTTTGGACGTACAGGGAGGTAGGGCTGTCCTTTTCTCTGCAGTTAAAAACAAAAATCATGCCAGAGGAAAGCCTGTTTATTTCTCTCCTCAGTTGATGCAAGCTGTGGATCTTATCCAATAAGGCAAAGACTTTGAAAATATGAACCAATCATTCTCTGCCTTGTGCAAATAAGCAAAAGTACCTGGAGAAGGAAGATTAAGACATAGCAGATCCTGACAAGCCAAAAGGATTATCTCACTGAACCCTATGGACAGGAACCATTCAACTGCCTTCCCAGTCTTTCCCTCTGCCCATAGCACCCTTTTTTTTTGTGTGTGTATGTAGGCAGTTTATAACAGGGTTAGAGTTTCAATTAATAAAGTTATATGTTGACAGTTCGCAATTGTTTGCCTGTAGCTACAGCCTATTTACTTGTAAGAAGTAGTAATTCCTGTTATGTAGAGAAACCTGGTCCACGCTTCCTGTTGACCTGGATTTAGAATACTGGTAAATTGGGGAAATTTGCATACTTTTAAAAATCTTTAATTTTTGTGATCACTTCAGTAAGAGTGGGGTTTGATTTCCAGCACATTATCCCAGCAGGGTTTAAAACCCTCACCACAACCCCCCTTCATCACCTCTATCCCCAACTCTACCCATGTCTCTTTCTCTCCAGCCTTTCCTGCTCATTTGTTCAGGCTTCAGTGCCTGTCTCCCACCCCCTTCACTATCCCTGTCCCAAACACTCCCTGGCCCTCAGCCTAGCCCTTCACCTTAACCCTCCCTATCCCTGTCTCCCAAATACTCACTGCCCTCACCCCAGCCCTTCATCCCAGTCCTTTCTTTCCCTCTCCATAGCTATCCCTACACCACTCCATTGCTCCTCACTCCATCCTTCACTGCCCCTCTCCCCAGGTCTCACTGGCCCACTTCCCAGGCCTCACTTCCCTTCTCCCTAGGTCTCACTACCCCTCTTCCCAGGCCTCACTGCCCCTCTTCCCAGGCCTCACTTCCGTTCTTCCTAGGCCTCACTACCCCTCTTCCCAGGCTTCACTACCCCTCTTCCCAGGCCTCACTGTCCCTCTCCCTAGGCCACACTGTCCCTCTTCCCAGGCCCCTGGGCCACACTGCCCCTCTTCCCAGGCCTCACTGCCCCTCTCCCTAGGCCACACTGCCCCTCTTCCCAGGCCTCACTGCCCCTATCCCTAGGCCTCACTGCCCCTCTTCCCAGGCCTCACTGCCCCTCTCCCTAGGCCTCACTGCCCCCCTTCCCAGGCCTCACTGTCCCTCTCCCTCGGCCTCACTGTCCCTCTCCCTCGGCCACACTGCCCCTCTCCCTAGGCCTCACTGTCCCTCTCCCTAGGCCTCACTGTCCTTCTCCCTAGACCTCACTGTCCATCTCCCTAGGCACACTGTCCCTCTCCCTAGGCCTCACTGTCCCTCTCCCTAGGCCACACTGTCCCTCTCCCTAGGCCTCACTGTCCCTCTTTCTAGGCCACACTTTCCCTCTCCCTAGGCCTCACTGCCCATTTCCCCAAGCCGTGCTGCTGCTGTGCAGGCCTCACTTTCCCTCCCGCACCCCGCCCCCAACACCATTCTACCACCCTGCAGACTGCTCTGTCACCCTCCCCAGAGTTCTAGTAACTAGATTACATTATCAGGGATATCAGATGATGTTAGATCTCATGGAAGTGGAACCTGATGGAGGCAGGTTCTAATGAAGTCCTGTTGAACTGTGTCTCTGTAGGTAATGTAAATAGTAATATGGGTTCAATAGTTTGCATTAGTGTAGTTTCCAGTCCTCATCTTGGTTGTGATACTTATACAAGAATAATAATCCAGAGGTTTCCATTCGTCTATTTAAATAACATTCCATCTTTAAATTCTTTTCACCAAAGGACTTGACCCCACACTTTCAGACATTCAACTCCATTTGCCAAGTGTTTACCCACTCACTCAAATTAGGAACATCGGAACATATAGTTTTCTGCTTTCTGACTCTGTCCTTGACTGAGGTTCACATCAACAGTTTCTGATCCACTGGAACCCTCCTGGAATCCAGTGAGTTATGGTATATTTCAGCTAATGCTTCCACTGTCTGTGCAGCCTCTTCCTCTGAAGCTTGGATGCTGGCCACCAAGTACTGACGACCTTCAATCCCATCAACCTGGTGAATACTCTGTTCCTCATGATAGAAACGTGACAAGACCTTTCTCACCACTAGCCCGCCTTGTGTTCTGATATCTTTGGGATGTTTACAGTTGACAGACTTTGATATTTTCAAGTGAATGCTGAGAGCTGAACAAGATATCGGGAGAACTCCCTGCTTCTTTACCAATACAGTAGTACCGTAGGTTCTTTGGGCAAACCAACACTCATCCATGAAACAGTAGATGCAACACAAGGCAACCCTTCCCTTGCTGTCATGTTGAAGCATCAATTTAAATTGTGGAGGTTGGAATGAAGCCAAAGTCTGTGACTCTGATCAACATGCTATCAATTCTGACATTTAATAACGTTTCATTAATAACATTACCCCTGACTAAGGATTCTTGAGGATAGTACTATGCTGGAGCTTGTGCAGATACATATTAATGGGACTTCTGACAGATGAAAGTATCTTCCAGCTGTGCTCCTTACCCTGTTTTGCGCGATTTGATTAATCCTCGAGAGCTATTACATAGATTAGTTTCGCAGAATCACGGCTGTCGTTCCTCAGGTTCGGTGAAATACATTATCCCCCCTATATTCCTTTCCTCTTCTGACTCGCATTTTTCCTTTTGATGCCTGTGCCTTATTAAAGTTGGATGTTAACATCACTGAGGGAGCCACGGAGCTGTCAAATCAAAGCGTGTTTGATACAGTGGTGAGTCACATTTCCTCTGGAGCTTTCTAATTCCATAATCTGATTTTCAGTGGCCTTGCTATCAGACAATATGTTCTGCAAGGTGTACAATGTACCATAAAGAGCTGGATAGGGGCAATGTTTGTAAATGTTAGTTTATGTTCTGCACAATAGTAGGTCTTGTTAAATTTGTATTGGAAACTTGGTTTGGGTGTAATAGCTAAGCTACCTTATGTTACAAGTTTACCACCAGACTTGGACTGAAGTTAAAATCTAACTAAGGCAATTTGAGAGTTTGAATTCAGCTTTTCCTTTAAAGTCTGAAAATGAAAAATAGGCATCAGTAAACTGGCCTTAAAGCTCTTGGATTGTTGACGATATCTTGTCGGGATGAAAAACTGCCACCTTTACCTGATCTAACATACATGGTCCTCCAGTTCCACATAAATGTGCTTTACTCTTAACTGCCCTCTGTAGTATCCCAGGAATCAATTAATTGTATTAAACAATAAAAGGTGACTTATTGATACCTTCTTTGGGCAGCTAGGGGTGGGCAATAATATTGCCTTTGCCTGAAATGGCCACATGTTGAAAATTAATGTTAAAGACTGAAGATCTACATCTTCATGTTTTGAATATGAAGTTTTGAGAGTGGAAATAGCTGTTCTGTTCTAAATAAGTTTGACAAACGTAATGAGATTCATAATCTTCAGTAATTTGCTGACGACTTGAACTGCACCTTCCACTTTCAAGTGACCTGTCTCCTCAACCTGCTCTCCATTGTTTCAAAACTGATCAGAGGATAACTTGTTTAAAGCTTTAGATATTCTGGGGACATTGAATTGGCCATGTTATTTTGTGGCCAAACCGTATCATTAAACAATGAAACCGGGAAAAGCTTCTTTGTTGAAGAATGATAGATTTGTGGAAATAATTCTTCCAAAAGGCTCTGGATGTTGAATTTGCAAAGCAGAGATGGATAGATTTTTATTAGTTGAAGACATATGTAAGGATATAGAGTAAACATGAAGAAATGGAGTTTAGGTACAGGTCAGGCATGATATAAATAAATGACAGAACAGGCTTGAGGTGTTGAATGGCTTTCTGTTGTTCTCATGCTCCCATGCAACAATGCTGTTCTATAATCCTCATGTTACACAGTATGCTGCATAGGTGATTGTAAAAATGAAGCACACTATATTTACCAATTTTCTTGTGCTTGCTAAATCTACCTGACTTCCAGAATTGATGATTTAAGTGTAAGTCAGTCATTTTCAGCTGGAAACCTTTAACTGTAATCAATTTAGTCCTTGTATAAAATGTCATTGTGTAAAAATGAACTGGTATTTTGAAGTATGAAGCCAAAAATCAGATAATACTGTTTTGCAACGCTGGGATATGCTTGAAGGTACACACCTCTAGCAATGACAAATCACGCTGACAAACATTTCCAAAGATCTTCAAAGAGACAAACACCTTCAAAAGAAGAAATTACATTAATACAATGAAAACTCAGCTCTCGCAAACAAAATTGAAGTTGACTTTCAATGCACTTCAAATAAAATACAAAAACGTTCCTTCTAGGGGCTGTAAATGCCTTGCCTAAAAAACCAGTGTAACTGTTGGCATGCTGCCAACACATTAGAGCTTCCACCACATGTTAAAGGCCATGAATTCGGGGAGGGGAAAGAACATCCCAAGCTTTGGAGATTTTTCAAGTCATAACTTAGGGTCTGCTCGGTAGCTGGGTACACAAGTGGAAGCCACACACTAACATTCGAAGAGGCAGAGTTGAACCCAACTGTAACCAAGGAAAACTTCACCAATTTTGGCATGACTGTTGAGCAATGCTGGTTACCTACAGTGAGCAAGGGATCCAGAAAGTGAGTGAAGTTAAGTTGTTATGGTAGGATCTATGCTGTCAGTTTTTAACTTGAATATTTTTGTCTTCATCTCCGTACGATAGGACTTGTTAAAGTGTGCACTACTTTACAATATCAGAGGTGAGTGAACACTCCCTTTTTGGCTGGCCCCTGCTAGCCTCAGTCACTCAGACCCAAGAGAACGCACATCCCACTCCTGCAAAAGAGGAAGATGTAGTGATGATTATGCAGCTACAGAGCTGGCTGGCAGATATATTGAAACCGAAGGAATACAGTCAACCTTCTCAGGTTCTATGTTCCAAAGTTCAGACTGGTGAAAGTGAGTCTCTGAATTCTCAACGCAGAGGAAAAAGTAGGCTAAATGTAGAAAATCTTGGAAAGGAAATTGTATCTGCCTTAATTTATGGTTAATGTCAGAATCAATAAAATTGACTGGAAGAGCATACAGGTTTTGCCAAAAACAAATTCTGTGACTTAAAAGGCAGTTTTAATAAAGGTGTAATCCAACAATTGGCACATCATACTATCTAATATCCATTAGCCTGGTGAGGTAGGTAAAGAAATAGTTGCAGACATATAGGAGACAGGGTTCAGATTGCCCAATTATCTGGATGTCCTTATAAACAGGAATGAGGGTATATAGAATTATAGAATTGCTATGGCTCAGAGGTGGCCAATTGGCCAATTGTGCCTGTACCTGTGGATGTGCCAATCTTCTGCACTAAAGGATGGTCTGCAGATAAAGGGAGCTGAGATCAGAATCTTACTGGGTATGTTAATGGGAGCATTTCTGGGGTGCGTTGAGTTTTTTGGAGAAGAAGGGGAAAGCAAGAAACCAGGGTAGCTTGGAAAGCTAAGCAACCTTCAGGCAAATGAGTAATAAGTAGGTAGGAGAGTTTAAGGAGATAAAATAGGAGAAGAGAGAGCTGTGGTATCCATTGTCGTAGCAATTTACCTCTGTATGTAAGTAAACTCAAAGAAACTGAACAAATTTTTAGTTATAAAAGTGATCAACCAGCCTAGCTGACATGATGGACTCAGGCTTTGGGAAGGGAATCTTTGATTTTATTTTGAATTGTGAGTGGTGACTCTGAAGAGTATTTAAGTCAGATTACTCAGCAATTTTTTTACCCTTCTTACTGAATCAGCACTTCAAAACTGTTTAGTTATTATTTATGTCACAGATTTTTTTTATGATTGAATAATTCAAAATCTAATTTTAATGGTGTGGGATTCTGGGAGTTGTAAGCATTGAATTCCTGTAAAAACAACATTTGGAGACCTTTGATGGTAAGTTGCAGCTATGAAAGTGGTTTATGAGTGGGACTTTTGCTTCCTTTTTATATTGTGTGATATTATATGTCATGCATATTTGAAGCGCTAACACAGCTGCCTTACCATACTTTCCAAAGATCAATGCAGAATCCTCTCTTGCTGAAAAGCCCAAGGCCCCAGCAGCAGGTACTGAGCTACCCCAGGATGCTCTCTCTGCTGTGCCCAGTGTCACTGCTGCAGAGGAGGTTGTGGTTGACTGCAGACTGATTTCACTCACAGTAAGTGCTTCATTCATCCCATCATCACAGCCACCCCCACTTTAGTATTGCTCAGGAGCACCGGTGTTTTTACTGTTTGGTTTTGCATGTGTGCATTTCTCTCCACCCTAACCGCGGATTGACTTGTGAGATTTCTCCCCATCCTAGACCCCATACCATCTGTTTTCCATCTTCATTTAAATTCAGTTACGTTTAAGTATTCATTCTCTGACTGCAATTGTAAGTATGCTTCTGTCATTTAAATGACTCCAGAAATGAATGCCTAAACCACAGCAATGGGCCTGGTATTATAGACATAACTTGTGTAATACCAAATATATTTTCAGTACTTAGTTGTTAATTTGTCTGTACTGTTCTCTAACCCAGCATAAAACACTATATCTCTGACGTGTGCTGCTACATGCAATATTGTATATGTCTTATACAATTGTATATGTGTGTATGTTGATGTCTGTCTGTGTATTTGTGCATGGTTGTAACATAGACACATACTTAAGACATCAGTAGCACTTTGGACAAGCTTAAAGGACTGTTTGCTCCTTTATCCAGGAAATGTTTCTGTTCAGAGTTGTTTTTATTTTATCCTAGCATTCATTTACAACTTATTATGTTATTCCCCTGTCAACAAAGAGGAGAAAGAGGAACAATGGTGTGTAGCCTGGGAATGACATTCCCTCTGATTTTCTTTCTTTACTTCCCAGTGTAGAAGGAACTGATATATAATAGCATTTCCTAAATGACAAGCCTGACACTAGAAGCACAGATATCCCGAGTGCCACCCGTACTGGGACATATCCCCTTCACTCCACCGTGACTCAACAGTCCACGAACCATAGGGCTACACCATGATGTTCCATGGTATAACAGGCTGATGCTCTGAGTAACTGCCTCACTAGTCCTAAAGGAAATTACCACAGAGGCTGGAACTCTGAAATAAAACAATGTTATGAATACTTACCAAGTCAGTCACCATCTGTGGACAAAAAAGGAGTTAATATTTCATTAGAACTGGGTAAAGTTAGAGATGTAGTAGGTTTTAAGCAAATGAAAGGCTGGGATGCAGCTGGAGGAGACTAAATGACAAAATGGTTGGTAGTACAGGGTAATGGGGTAAGCAAGGAAACAGAAGGTGTGCTCAGATGGGGGATGAATGTCAGAATGATGAACTACTATCGTCGGAAACATGAAAAAAGTGAGAATAAAACCAAAACCAGCAAAAAAAAAACAAAATGGTTACAGTCTGAAATGGTTGAATTCATTGTTAAACCTTTTTTGCAGAAATTGCCTTTCAGTCTGCTAATGTGACGCCCAGCTTCCACTGGCTTGTTATTTTAATACTCCACCTGCTCTCATCTCTTTGTCCTGAGCCTCCTGCAGTGTTCCAGTAATGCTTATTGCAAGCTTAAGGAATAGAATCTCATCTTTCATTTAGGCGCTTAATTCATAACCTTCCAGACTCAACATTGAGTTCAGCAATTTCAGATTGTAACCTCTACTCACACATTTCCCTCTCATTACTAGTTTTGCTTTTTCCATCAGAGATTTCCTTGCTTTTGCTTTCAGATGATAGCTGTTCATCATTCTACTTCCTCCCACCTATATTTTGTTTCAGCAAAAACAGAAATCGCAGGAGAAACTCAGCGGTTCTGGCAGCATCTGTGGGGAGAAAGCAGAGTCTAATGTTTTGATTCTGGTGACTCTTCGTCAGAACTGATAGCAGCTGAGCAAAAGTGGTACTTATGCTGAAGAGAGTATTGTGGGGGACAGGGGAATGAGTGGGTAGGTGGAGATAGAGCCCAGTGAGAGGGAGCTATGAAAAGGTTAGGCAGTCAAGGAGATTCTTGATAGTTAGCCAGGTCAGAAGAGAGCCTGAAAATGTGATGATGAGTCCTAAGAGAAGGAAAGAATGGATAGACTAAGCTGAAAGTGTCCCAAGTAATGTGATAATAGGACTAGGAGTGGGTGAGATTGGATCGGCTATGCTAAAAGCAACTCATGCCATTGACAGGATCAGGGTATGGAGGGTTGGGTAAAAAGCATGGAATGATGTGATCAGGCTCTAATGTTATTGAACTCAATGTTGAGACCTAGAGGCTTCAGGGTGCCCAAGTGGAAAATGAGATCCTGTTCCTCAACTTTGCATGGAGGTTTGCTGGAGCTTGCACACCAGAACTAGCACATGACATGAGCATAGATATGTTGTGTGTATATTGGCTACCTACATTTTTATCTCTGTCAGGGAAAATTGCCAAAATAGGAGTAAGAACAGAAGTCCTGATGTTGAGTTTTGACCACCATTCTGGGTTGGCTGAGCTCAGGAATAGTCCAGGTCATTACCCTTCTCCCTTTTCTCACAGATTCTCATCAGATATTCTGAGTATTTACAGAACTTTCTGTTTTTAAGCATAATCACAGTGGTTTTGTCTTGGTACAAATTCATAGTCTGAATGTTCATGTTTTCAAAAGATGCACTGCCTATCATTGTGCTGTTTAGTAGATAGTAGAGTTCATCTCAGTATTGACGTGTTGTTTGTCTGTGATCATTTTGTCATGTTTATAAAATAAAAAACCCATTGCTTGAAACCGCTCAGAAAAACCATCTTAACCAACTAACCATCCTAGAAATCGCATCATGTTCTAATACTTAACAGTACTAAATTTAAAATACGATACTTGAGGGACATTCAGTTAAAATAATTCCCTTTTCTCCCCATCAAGGAAATTAAGGAGCCTGAGGTGCAGAAGCCAGCTGATAGTGCTGAGACTGATAGCACTGAGGTATGTAAATAGTACCTCAATAGCTGGACAAAAGAGTAGATAATCTGCTCAAGTTAAATATCTTTGACCAAATCTCATCCCTACCGATAGTCCTATGCAAATGGAACTGTTTCTTGTGTGTCAGAGATACTTGGTCATCTTATTAAAAAAAAAATGGACAGGGATATTCCAGCCGTTGTGTATAGTTTATCGCTGATTTTATTGTGTGCCAAGTCTGAACCAGCACTGGTGGTAATGCAGGATTTGAGAAAAGAAGGAAGTAGGGGCTACATTTAACGCATTGATGAGGCTTCTGTTTTACAATGATTCAATACATTTCAACTCTGGCTTTGTTACATGCTGTTTTTTTTTTAAATCATGTGTGTTTCTGCAGATCAAATTGAATTAATCTGTCAGATTTTCTCTGACTACCTGCAGAGTATATTATACTGAGTGATTCTATGAATGCTTTCTCTCTAGCTGAGTTTATGTCCACGGGTTCAAGTGTTTGAGAATCTGTAATAGCAGGATGGAGTGCTCACACAGCCGCCACTTTCCAATATGATGTGCACAGTTACAATCGGCTGAATGATCTTCTTTGTTGTAGGATTGCATGGGGACATTTAACTCGTCCCTGCCTCCAGAATAAAAACAGGGTTTAGTGTATTAATAATCTGATTCCCATCCCCACTGCCAATCTCTAGTTTACATGATGCCAGAATGGGGAGATAGGCCACGAGCCGACTCCAAACCAGACTGAAATTTTAAATATTGTGAGGAAGCTGCATGCTTCATTGTATTTCCCCATTTGAGATATAAATGTGGGCAGTCAGGTCTCCTGAGTCTATATATTGTGGAGCTGGAGGAACACAGCAGGTCAGGCAGCATCAGAGGAACAGAAAGTCGACATTTCGGGTCCGGACCCTTCATCAGGTCTGGGGAGGGGGATGGGAGCCGGGAAATAAATAGAGAGAGGAGGGACGGGGCTGGGGAAGGTAGCTGGGATGGTTATAGGTGAGTGCAGGTAGGGAGTGGTGGGGATTGGTCAGTGGGAAGGGGTGGATATATGGGAGAGAAGATGGACAGGTTGTGTCAGGTCAAGGAGGTGGGGATGAAAGGGGGGTGTTGGACATGGGATGATGCAGGGGTTGGGGAGATTTTGAAACTGGTAAATTTTATGTTGAGGCCATTGGACGAGGCAGAATATGAAAAGTTGCTCCTCCAGTTTGTGGGTGGTGTCATTGTGGCACTGGAGGAGGCCCAGGATGGACATGTCACCCAGGGAGTGGGAGGGGGAGTTAAAATGGTTGGCACCCTGCAGGAGGTGCTACATCTGCCCCTACATCTCCCCCTCACCTCCATCCAAGGCCCAAGACAAAGTTTCCAAATCTGATAGGGATTCACCTGCACATCCTCCAACCCTCAACAACATTTCCTTTAACTCCTCCCACTTCCTACAAACTAAAGGGGTGGCTATGAGCACCCATATGGCTCTGAGCTGTGCCTGCCTCTTTGTAGGGAACAATCCCTCTTCCGCTGTTACATTGGCACCATCCTCACCTCTTCCTCCGCTACATCGATGACTGTATCAGTGCTGCCTCGTGCTCTCATGCAGAGCTTGAACAGTTCATCAACTTTACTAACACCTTTTACCCCAACCTCAAATTCACCTGGACCATCTCCGAAATCTCCCTCCCTTTCCTGGACCTCTCTGTCTCCATCTCTGGTGACTGCCTCAGCACTGACATCTATTTCAAACCCACCGACTCCCACAGCCACCTGGACTACACCTCCTCTCACCCACCTTCCTGCAAGAATGCGATCCCCTACTCCCAACTCCTTCGCCTCTGCCGCATCTGTTCCCGAGATGGAGCATTCCCCTCCCGCACATCCCAAATGTCCTCCTGCTTCAAGGACCACAACTTTTCCCCCTCTATTGGTCCAAATTGTATTTCCCACACTTCTGCCCTCAAAGCCCCTCCCCCCCAACAAAAATAAAGACAGAGACCCCCTTGTCCTCACATACCCACCAACATCCGTGTATCATTCTCTGTCACTTCCGCCACCTACAACCCGACCCCACTGCCAAAAAGCCATTTCCCTCCCCACCCCTATCTGTCTTTTGCAGGGTCCGCTCACTCTGTGACCCCATCGTCCACTCCACACTCCCCACCAACCCCACCACCCCCAACACCTTTCCCTGCAACCGCACGAAGTGCTACACCTGCCCCTACACCTCCCCCATCATCTCCATCCAAGCCCCAAAACAAACTTTCCAAATTTGACCTGTACATCCTCCACCGGTTGCCAACCATTTTAATTCCCTCTCCCATTCCCTGGGTGACATGTCCATCCTGGGCCTCCTCCAGTGCCACAATGACACCACCCGCAAACTGGAGGAGCAGCACCTCATATTCCGCCTCAGGAGCCTACAGCCCAATGGCCTAAACATAGAATTTACCAGTTTCAAAATCTCCCCACCCCCAGCCTCATCCCATGTCCAACCATCCCTCTCATCCCCGCCTCCTTGACCTGACACAACCTGTCCATCTTCTCTCCCACCTATCCACACCACCCTTCCCACTGACCAATCCCTAATACTCCCTACCTGCACCCACATTTCACCATCCCACCTACCTTCCACTAGCCCCACCCCTCCTCCCTCTATTTATTTCCCAGCTCCCTTCCCCTTCCTCAGTCCTGATGAAGGGCCCCAACCCAAAATGTTGACTTTCCTGATGCTGCCTGACCTGCTGTGTATTGGCTCTGACTCCAGTATCTGCAGTTCTCACTATCTCTGAGGTATATTGAGCCTTGTGGAAACAGAAGCTACCTTCCTAATTCCCTGCTGGAATCAGCCTGGGCAATGCCCCATATCCCCACTCTTCTAATCTCAATTCAACCTTCTTGAGGAGTTTAACTAAACTTATTCACCCCATTTCTCTGATCCTTTCTCCAGTCTCCCCTGAGAGGATCAATACCAGAGGACTTTCTCCTTCCCCCAACCCAATTATCCAAAACACTTCCACTGCTTGAGTCTGATTCTACTGACCCTCCCACTGTTCCATCAAAGATCTCCGCTTTCATCTTGGAACCCCAAAAATATCCTACACCAAGGAGGTCAATTTCCCTTCCAAAAGAGCTTTCTATCTCCTTCAAAAACATCCTCAAGTCTCCAACCCAGCCCATGAACCCAGGATCCAAATCCCCACCACAATTCTCCTAGTTCTAACAACTCACTATGAAGTATTGATTAACCTTTTGGTATCTGTAATAATATCAGAGCATCTCTCAGATATCTTTTCAGGTTGAGAAGCCCAAGTGTTTTCTTACCACGCAAACCCCTGATGTTGGAGATTATTCACATGCCTCTTCTTGACTCTGCCTCCAATAGAACCTGGAACAGTACAGCACAGGAACAGGCCCTTTGGCCCACCATGTCTGCGCTGACCATGGTGCCATTCTACACTAATCCTCTATGTCTGCACGTGGCCTGTATCCCCTTAATCTCTGCCTGTTCATGTGTCTGTCTAAATACCTCTTAAACGTTGCTGTCATATCTGCTTCCACCACCTTCCCTGGCAGTGCTTTCCAGGCACCTACCATCCTCTGTATAAAAACTTGCCTCCCACATCTCCTTTAAACTTCTCCGATGTCACTTTAAACCTATGCCCTCTTGTAATTGACATTTCCATCCTGGGGGAAAACCCCCAACTATTCACCCTATCAATGCTTCTCATGATTTTATATATTTCTATCCTCCTCAAATTCAAAGGCTCCTCAGACTCCAAAGTGCTAGTGAAAACAATCTAAGTCTATCCAACCTCATCTTATAGGTATTACACTCTAATCCAGGCAACATACTTTGCACCTCATGTTTCGCTTGGGAACCCTGCAGCCCAATGGTATCAATGTGGATTTCACAAGCTTCAAAATCTCCCCTCCCCCCAACCGCATCCCAAAACCAGCCCAGCTTGTCCCCGCCTCCCTAACCTGTCCTTCCTCCCACCTATCCCCTCCTCCCACCTCAAGCCCCACCCCCATCTCCTACCTACCAGCCTCATCCCGCCCCCTTGACCTGTCCGTCCTCCCTGGACTGACCTATCCCCTCCCTAACTCCCCACCTACACTCACCTTTACTGGCTCCACCCCCGCCTCTTTGACCTGTCTGTCTCCTCTCCACCTATCTTCTCCTTTATCCATCTTCTATCCGCCTCCCCCTCTCTCCCTATTTATTTCAGAATCCCCTTCCCCTCCCCCATTTCTGAAGAAGGGCCCAGACACGAAACGTCAGCTTTCCTGCTCCTCTGATGCTGCTTGGCCTGTTGTGTTCATCCAGCTCTACACCTTGTTGTCTCAGATCCTTTGAAACCTCTTTTGCACCCTCTACAAAGCCTCCACATCCTTCGTATAGGGTGGTGACCAGAACCGCACACCGTACTCCAAAAATGGCCTAATTAATGTTTTACATAGCTGCAACATGACTTGCATGCTATCAAACTATGCATGAAAGGAGAAGGGACATAGATATTCTTTTGGATGATTATTGTGCATTTGGTATAGATTTTGTTCAGTTAGAAACTTCCTTTAACCATACTCCAGCGAGCGCTAAACCTTTTGAACTCAGCAAAGGATTTTGCAAAAGGGCAATTGGTAAAAATTATTTTATGGGCAGGTTGGTTGGAATCATCAGTCCTCTGGTACAGGCCATTGCTGAGGTAAAGTCCACAAATTGTTTTTCAAGAGGGAAACCAAATAGATGTTTGAAAAGGAGAAATACTGTAATAAAGCACATGGTGAGCAAGCAGGAAAGTGGAATTAGATTGATGGAGTAGAACCACCAGTGCACACTTGATGAGCTGAATAGCTTGCTTCTGTTTTGCAGCATTCTACCATTCCACACTAAATTTAAATAAATCCCCTGTTTTATTCCCCATAAGGAGACTAAGGAGCCTGAGATGCAGGAGCCAGTCATAAATGCTGAGATTGAAAGCACTGAGGTATGTAAATATTTCCTGACCGCTAGGTTAGATTTAAGTTGTATTAATTGCTCACTACAGTTAAATATTTGCCATCAAGTCTCGGCTTTATTCATCCCAAAACTAGAAAGCTGGAAACTTAATGCATGTAGCGGATTATGTTTTGAGATCCCTCGAGATTGCACCATGAGCATGTCCAATATTTTGCAATTCCAAAACAAGTGTTCTCTTTGTATAATCCACAATCTAGATTAGAAAATACTGCAGGACCCACTGAATTCCAGAGATAGGCTCATGGAATAGAAACTCCTAGCGATCCGAACTTCCTGATGTAAGCTCCCATCAGGTGCAGCTCCATGCTGGAGGTGCAAATTAGTTTGTGGTCTGCAAACAAAAATCTCCAGCATGCTGCAGTGTAAGAACCATGACTTTATGCTGCTCTTTCATCAAAACGCTGCAATCGGTAAATTTCTTTGATCAATCCCTGAGTCATGACCAGTGATATCTCACTGAGCTAATTTCATAGTTTTTGACGCTTCCCCAGTCCCTAGATTGCCTGGTGTTAAAGGTTAGATAATGCTGGTTTCCAATATTCAGGCCTGTTCTGAGGGGGTGTACACTTACACCCAAACCTTTTGCCCAGTAGGATCTCACAATCATTATTTCTGTGTTAATGTTGTTTAATAATCACTCACTCCTGAGACCTGCACTTTACTGGTACAGATTTAAATGATTTTTTGATAGCATTAGAATCTATATTTTCTTAAACATGTTTGTAATAATTTTAGCTCATTTTATCATTTTAGTTTATATTTGGCATCACAGGAAATCTCGGTGTAAATTGTCATTGACAAGATTGGAGTAGAGAATATCAATTAGATTTTAAGAAAGCTTCAGCCCACGGTCTAACAGTTTAATGTTTTATAAATAATGGTATCCTGGCTTTCTGTTAATATTTGTCATATCTATATAAGAATATATTTTTTCTTTAATAGCTTTAATCCTAAACTGAAGAAGTGGAGACAGATTAAATAATGCTACTGCCTCAATGAAACATTTACACTGAGTGAGACTTTTCTCCCAGTACAGTACCTCATCTTACAGAAGTGCAGTATCAATTGTGGAGGAGGCTGTAGCATTTCGTGAGTGGGCAGCCAACGCCCTAATCTTCACATCCAATTCTCTGTCTTCTAGTCAATTGAAATTCTCCACCAGGAGCAGAGGGGCTTTGATGGCCCAGTATTTTCATTCTAACCCATGACAAAATAACATATGAAACAGGAGCTTGAGTACGTCTTTTAGCCCTTCAAGTCTGCTCCATCATTCAATAAGATCATTGCTGATCATCTACCTCAACTACCTAACTCCTCTGCCATCCTCCTGTCCATTGATTTCTCCAGTATCCAAAAATCTATTGATGAATATCATGAATGTAGTCCCTGGCTGAACATCTATAGCTGACTGGGTAAAAATTCCAAATATCCACAACGCTTTGAGAAGTACATTTCTCCATATTTCGGCCCTAAATTACCAACTCTTTATTCTAGGATTATGGCCCAAAATCTAGATACCTTTACATGGAAAATGCCCGTCCAGCAACCACAATGTCAGACCTTTAACTGTTTTGTTCTGTACTTCAATGAAATACCATCACATTCTTCTGAACTGTTAAGTATTACAGACCTAGTCCTTTTAAAAATGATTTCTCACTACATTATACGTCCTAGAACCCACTTTGACAGTAATAAATGTGCCTCAGTATAAATACCATGCTACAGTACATTCTAAAAGCATAATAAAGAGTTGTACCAATGGGCCCAATAGAAAGATAAATGAAATTCTTCAACAGTTGAATGATAAGGCACTATAATCTCCTTGTACAATGACTTAATAATCCACACTAACATATAAAGGAACTCAAGTGCCAGAAAGACCTGGTTTTGAATCTGAGCTGATTTTTATCTTACAGAATGTGACACCTGAGGCAGAGACTGAACAAGATAAGGCAGTTTCTGAAGACTTGGAGCCTTCTCAGGTACAGATCCAACCTCTAAACCTGATTCTTGCATCCATCAGCTTGGCACATAAGCCATAATCAGAAATACATGTGTCGACATGCAGTAGAAAACAAGGATAAAAGGTCAATTCATTACAGCTCCTTCTGAAAGATGATAGTCAATATGTGGGATTAAAAGGCACCAAACATTACCTTCAATTCCAATGATCCTACATTACTAAAATTCTTTCCACCAGGGGTTAGGATAGATATGGTAGCAAAGGAGATGTGAGAATTCTTGCATCATTTTCCTCAACTTTTTACACGGTGTGAAATTAAACAATGGATTCAGAATCAGGTTCTCCATAGAATTCCTAGTGTGGAAACAGGCCATTCAGCCCAACAAGTCCATACCAACCCTCCGAAGAACATCCCACCCAGTCTCACCCCCTCCTACACTGCATTTCCCAGGACCAATCCACTTAACCTGCACATCTTTGGACTGTGGGAAGATCCAGAGGAAACCCACACAGATACAGGGAGAATGTGCAAACTCCACACAGACAGTCACCTGAGAGTGAATTCAAACGTGGGTCCCTGGCGCTGAGAGGCAGCAGTGCTAGCTACTGAGCCACCATGCCGGCCCACGTTTAACCCTTAATGAGATGCTGAGACGCTGTTTGTTATGTAGGATTAATGATGTGATGATGCAAAAGCACCTACTAGCTGAAGCCCAACCAGACTTCAAGCAGGCACTACTAATGGTTTTGTCATCAGAAAATGCTACAAGTGGAGCTAATGAGTTACAGGGTATGCTGGTGGAAGTGGACACCCACACCAGGCCAACTGAGCTTGGGGGACACCACATGAGTGAAGGCAATTGTATAGCCTCACTCAGGACATATCCTGAACAGAAGTACTAAGCCAGCGCACCGTTTAAACCCAAAACAAAGTCAAGCCTCAACCAAACAGTTAATATTTTCTTCAGGATCCGGGCCGGTAAGCCATTATTGTTGCTACAGGAATGTGGACTCGAGGCAGCAAAAGAGCCCCACTTGACCTAATTTGACTAAGAGAATTCATAGATCAGTATACAGGGAGAGCACACCCTGGAAAACCTACAGTTAAACTGCTTAGCAATATCCAAATCAGAACCAATCAAAATAAATGGAGATAGTAGGAACTGCCGATGCTGGAGAATCTGAGATAACAAGGTGTAGAGCTGGA